CGCTGCGAACAGGCTTCCAGAGGGCGGCGTCAGCTTCTTGACGTTGATGCCCATCTGCTTCGCTGCCTCCTGAGAGATAACAGACACCTCAGCGCCTGTATCTGGCGTCCATGTCGTTTGTTGCCTGCGACCGTCACTCCGATGCAGCAGAATCTGGATCTGCGGAGCACGCGTCGTATGCAGGCCTTGGATCATGCAGTCTCGGTGCTGCTGGTCCACTGTTTGTCTGGCAGGTGCAGATGCCGCTCGCGTCTTCATTGTGACGAGTGACACACGTCTGCCTCCATCGGACCTCCGCTGGGTCCGGTCTGTGCTCGCCGCCGGAGCGCGCGAGCGACTGGCGCTGCGACCGCGGCAGACAGACGCGAAGTGGCCTACCTTGCCACAGGCTCGGCAGGTCCTCTTGACGGCCCTGCAGTCGCCGGCGCTACGGTGAACTTCACCACCGCAACGGGGGCACGTCTTTTCTGTCGACCGGTCTCTCGGGCGACCGCGGCTGCGCTGGTACTGAGAGACCTTCGCCAGGGTCGAGCCAGCTGGTTCACGGATGGCTGAGCTGTTGGAGGCGGCATTCTCTGACGCTCGGGCGATATCCACTGCCTTCTGAAGCGTGAGATCCGGCTCTTCCAACATTCTGCGGCGTGCTTCTTCGTCCCGCGTGCCGACAACGACTCGATCTCTGAACCTGTTGTCCTGGCAGTGGTGACAGAAATCACAGAACGATGCAATCTCTTTCAGTCCACAGAGAAAATCGTCCACTGTTTCGCCCGCTTCCTGTACTCGCATGTAAAAATCTCGGCGATCAATGATGACGTTACGCTGGCGGCGCACATGCGTCTGCATCGCCGTGATGATGGTGCTCATGTCAGCGTCTTCGGGGATCGGCAGGCCGTACCTGACCACCCTGGTCCAATCATCATCAAGCAGAGCGAGTAGGGCTGCCTTCTGCTCGGGCTGGGCTAGCCTGTTGACGCCAGTCAGCAGACTGTAGCCGTGAAATTTCTGTCGCCAGGATTCAAACTCCTTCAGTGACGCCGATGACGACAACTGTGGAGCGGGAGTTGCTGATGCCGGCAGTCTGGGCGGTAGATTGACGGCTGCGCTCGTATCGGCTGGGGTGGCCGCTGCAGTAGCCGCCGCGGCTGCAGCGTCGGCCCCGGCCGCCGGCCCGGCCCATATCCGTTCCATTACGGCCACCATACGCTCCTCCCGCTGCTGGCTTTGCCGCTGAGCTTCTTGAGCCAGCTCCAGTTGCTGGGCGAGGAGTTGGGCGAGGGCTCCCAGGTCTACCGGCTTGCCTTCCTCCGTCATTGCGAGAAAAGCGCGCTAAAACCGACGAAAAAATGCTACATTTAATGATAAAAAGTAAATTATACCGATCGCGCCATGTTATGGTTTTACATTTAAGTCTACGTTAATGATGGTTCGATAGCAAATTAATTATCGTCGCGATTCCGCCGCCCCAGACGCACACGCGCACTCCCGATGTGAACTGTATTGAGTCCGGCTGACGACTGCACAACAATACTCTTTACTCAAGGACACCGGAAGCTGCCGGGCGGCACAGCCTGCCATCAGGCGCCGGCCGGCGCCGCGGCGGCTGGCAACAGCTGTCAGCTGACTGCGCCGGCATAGCTCGTGCCGGCTCAGTAGCACGCATCACAACAGTCGCCAGTGTTACCGAGAATCGTCTGTTTATTCATGTGACCTGCGGCGGGCACTCGCAATGCATTTATTCAGGGTGACATTGCTTATTTCGTGTTACAACGCAGTATTGAAGTTTATAGTTGCTTGAGAAACGCGGCAAACGTTATAAACGGCTGCTAAAGAGAAAAGAGCGAGAGAGAGAGAGAGAGAGAGAGAGAGAGAGAGAGAGAGAGAGAGAGAGAGAGAGAGAGAGAGAGAGAGAGAGAGAGAGAGAGAGATAGAGAGAGAGAGAGAGAGAGAGAGAGAGAGAGAGAGAGAGAGAGAGAGAGAGAGAGAGAGAGAGAGAGAGAGAGAGAGAGAGAGAGAGAGAGAGAGAGAGAGAGAGAGAGAGAGAGAGAGAGAGAGAGAGAGAACGCGCAGCCATTTGCATACGGACTACTGTTAGTCTGGCTTCTGGTGCGTGTTAGGACGGACTTCAACAAATGGGATGTGTAACTTTGCCTCGTCCTGTTCTTCGATTTGCGCTTGAAAACTGAAGCAAATTTGTTCAGGCTAATTCAATTCCCTATGTTTTGTGTAAGTTCTGGATGGGTATTTCCCAATTACTTTCACACATACGAGTAGGTATATGCTTACGATGTGATGTGGTATGCTTAATTATCTTCACTAAGGAGGAATATTCTAAATGTTTTAACCAGATAAAAGGATTTCAGAGAAGTTAGCAGAGACCACGGACGGACGTAACTTTGACACTTTGCAAAAGGATTTTCTCTGACTCTTATGAAGTTAGATTATGTCACTTACAAAGTGCGGCCCTCCAGGTTAGTGGCTGGTTGCCAACATCACAATAATCGATCTGCATTGATGAATACGTCTAATGGCTGTTGAAAATCACTGCCGAAAAATGTGTGCACGAACTCTCTTTTCATTTCTATTGAGTCATTTTACAGGAGTGTCTCTGTCATTTTAAGTTAGGTATTACACCAATGACCAAAAGCACATAAGGCTAACCAACCACTCTTTTGCTGGAGGGCCGTACATGGATGAATATTTATGAGCGTATGATGATGCCTATGAAGAAATGTTGTAGTTGGTAATATTCAGCTGACCTACGAAGAAATGTTTTATTCCCGTTTATATAGGTTTACCGGAAACATTCCTCATAACATTATTGAAAACACTGAAGTTTGTGGTCAGTAGTTTGTATGTGATTGCGTGATTTTTAGACTTTCATGATTCATTCTTTAGACTTTAGAAAACGTCCTACAAAAGGAAAGAATAAAAATTCCATAAAATAGTTATACAAAGGATGCGTGACATGTGTTGTTCTTCGTTAACAACCAATCATCCGATATTCACGGTCAATAATTGGACTATGGTTCGTCTTTTTTTAGCTCGACCCTCATTGTAAACATATTTCTGAATAAAGCACAGGAATTGCCAGCTGAATTACTGAGAAAACTGGTTAGCGCACATTGTATTGGATATATTAATAATATCTTTTTCAAATAAGTTTTGCCAACACCGATGATGTACAGTTACACAAAACTCCGTGGGACAGTGGCGGATCCAGGGGGGGCAAAATGGGCATTTGCCCCCCCCCCCCAACGGCATGATTTTAACATTACGCCTATGGACGATGCATGGAAAGAATCGATAAATTTTTATGGTTTGCCCCCCCCCCCCCCAAACCTCTGAGCTGGATCCGCCTCTGCCGTGGGATGTATTAATTAGTTCAGCTAAAATTCCTGACAAGTCGTTATATGCCTGTGGAGTTGTAAAAACAGGCAAATACGAGCTGAGAGTCTGTGAAATAGGAGCCGGCTAGAAATGATTTTGATGAAAGTTGATCGTCTACGAAATCAATGTGCGCCGACCAGAGTTCTCAGTAATTCAGCCAGCACTGCTCGTGCTGTGTTCAAAGTGACGTTTACAAAGAGCGTCGAACTTAGAAAAAAAACGAACTATATCTGAGTAGTGACTGTATTTTATTTACAAAACATTGAGGAGTGAGCTACCTACTTGAAAGCAATAAACACTAAATTAAGTTCACGGCATGTTGATAGCTAACTTATGTATATCAGATAATGATTTCGTCAGCTGTTGTTGACAACTTTTGAGCCTTGGTCAGCTGCTGCAAAGGTAACACATTAACCCTATTAGTGGCAGGCTCCTGGCTACCCCATATTAGTGGCAGGGGGGGCTGTTTACGACCCCCCCCCCCTTGATATCTCGAGATCTAACCGGCCGATTTTCAAAATTCAAACGCCATTCGATTTCGCTCAACGAGATCTACATTTCTAAAAAAAATTAAAAAATGTCAATAGGGGGGTAGAGGGGGGTAAAAACGGGCAAATTGCAGATACATTTTAGACTGTTTATCACGGCCAGGTTTCTGAACCAATCTTAACGCAACTTTTGCCGATCGATAGAGAATGAACCAGGAATTCACATGGATCCTAAAAATATGCATTTTCAAAAATCATAGGCGGATACAGATCATTGAGATTGGGGGTACACAAAAAGTATAGTAAATAAGGTTTTTGTTGGTACTGTTTCTAAAAAGGGTGGCAATGGTCTTGTTGTGTTACAATTTTCTTATGAGAGAACGACTAAAATTGTATTGGTCATGCATAGGCGGTGTCAGGGCACCTATGTTGGGAGGTAAAAAATAACCCCCCTTTTTGGACGCCTGGATCCGCCTATTATAGCAAAAACGTGTCAAAAGAGGATGCACAATAACTTTGTATATGTTATCACATGATACCTTTCATTCACTGTTCGTAAAACTGGTGCAGCATCGTGATCTTCGCCCAAATGACTCGCTTCACGAATAGGACCCCCCAATTCCCAGTGCTCTGGAGCCGCCCCTGGTAAAGTTATGAACTTGAAATTTTCAGAGAATGTGCCCAATTTAGTTTTAGGAAAAGTCAGAAAATTTCAGCATCGTAGCTTCAGCGGTTTCGGAGATATTCCCGAAAAACCTGAGAGGTGGATAAAAACAACCCCCCTGCCACTAATAGGGTTTAACTACAAAAAAATTGCGGCAACCTCCTGGAACCACCTCCCACCCACCACCACTAGCTCTGGAACACACGCTGAGTTTCTTCGCCACCTTGCTGCCTAGCGCTTTTGCCTTCTGTCATATCCGTGAAAATTGTGACGCGCTTGATGCTTTGCACTCATCAGTCTACTGCACGGCAGTGTTTGTGCATGTGTGCGTGTGTGGGGGGGGGGGGGGGAGGGGTTAGGTGTACCTTGTCTTTTTGTGTGTGTGTGATCGAATAAAATGCTAAACCATGCAATGGATTGATTCGAAATACATTGAACTGAACTACACGTTTCTTTTTCAGAGACGTTCTGTCCGGCGACGTTCGACAACATCATGTGCTGGCCGCCAGCCGAGGGAGGGGAGACACTGAAGCAGCCGTGTCCGCCCTTCAAGGGCATCGACCCATCCAGTAAGGGGCGACCTGACAACAGCACAGATGACACGATCACCTGACCAATCGTCAGCTGTGTTGAAACGTGATGAATGTCCGACACTACCCTCTTGGATATTGCCACTAATGCTTGCGCCACCGTAAGTTCTTTGTATCTCTAGTTAACAAAAGACATAAGCGATAGGTGAATTAGGCCACATTTTCGATGCATCCATATTGTTACATGCTTTGAAACACCTTGTCGATCCAGTTTAATCGTTGTTTTTCGCCCGACGTTGTTTTCTTCGTCCGCCTGATTTAGTTTTCAAATTGCAGAATTCGCGTTCAAGTCGTGCTCTGAGGACGGCAGGTGGTCGGGAAAAACTGAGGACGACTTCAGTCGACCTCAGGGCTTCACAAACTATTCCAACTGTTTCCTACCCGTCATGAAGGATCTCCTGGAGAAGCTTGGCACCCCAGAGGAGAGAAAGGTAAGTCAAAGAAGATCGATAAAAGGCACAGTCTATCATTTATTCCACTTTGTGAACAGACCATATCTGCATCTGATACGATTTCAGATGCGCATAAGTCACTAATGCATCACACAAGACTGTGCAGAATGCATCAAACAATTACAATTCGAATTTTATTTTCATCATGATTCCGCCCGTTCAAACGTGTAAAGCAAAATTAACCATGAAAAAAAAGAACGTAAGCGCCTGTTTACCTTCATCAGTTCATAAGTATACATTTGGTGACGTGCATTGCTACAGCTCTTTTCAATTGTGTGCGTGGTGACCTATCTGCCAGAATGTGCCGCAATATGGCGAACTACATTTTGAAGGTTTATTAGGTTCATCTTTCATTCGTTCCGCACTAGTGCAGTGCCCCTATCGAAGTCGGGATGCTTGTCGCCGTGAACCGTCATGGAATTTCCGCGGGTTTTGGCTGTCAACAGCGTTTGACAGACTGCCAGTGCGCCGAGTCAGTGGAGCCGAAACGCGAGTCTTTGATGTGATGCGCGCCAGATCAGTGCCGCATGGCGCATAATCGCCCAGATAGGGGTGCTGACTGGGCCGACACTCAGTATAGATATTCAAATGGACTCACTTGATGGGAGCTCGGGGTATTCGCGATAGTACCAGAGTGGTAGCGAGACGCATAACTATCGTTGCTAGTCGGTGTTAGCCAGAAAAATAAAAGAACACGCTCATATTCTGCGGATACAAGCTCTGTCAATGGCATAAGCATAATGAATACGCTATAGAACGTCTCCGATTTCAGCTCAAGTTCACGATCGCCGAGGGCACAAGGACGATGGAGCTGATCGGCTGGTCCATCTCTCTGTTGTCGCTGCTCCTTTCACTCTTCATCTTCTTCCATTTCAAGTAAGTAAATAAATCTCAGGCTAAAAGTTTTCAAAGGAAAGTGTCTCTCCCGTTCATCGCCATGTTTGCATCGGACATCGTTCTAAAAACAGGCACACATTTCATTGTATAACTATGATCGTCATTCATGTCGTTGAAAATACCAGGCGTGACATGAAGCGCATCAAATAAATTGAATGGTCTTCGCCATCGCTACTGACACAATGACGTTACGTAACGAAATAGATTAATTCATATCTCCCGAATATATTACACAAGAATACAAATGAAACATCATGTTATTCAATGCATTATCTCTCTCGATATCAATTAGTTAGCATGTCAGCTCATGAGGTCGTGTTCTAACGCCGCCTCTCCTCTGTTCCCTTCTCGCCCATTCCCCGCAGGAAGCTGCAGAATCACCGGACCCGCATCCACCGCAATCTGTTTTTCGCGATGTTGATCCAGGTGGTGGTCCGTTTGACTGTGTACGCCGACCAGGCCATCGTGCGGCGGCCCGACACCAGCCCCAACAAGCCAGGCATCGACAATACGGTACGTTCTGCACCCTAAGCAGCGAAATGGGTACCGTATCGCATGGTACTGTGCCACTGTGGTCACCTCACCTATACACTAGTGTGAGTGCAGGTGTGGTTACCTCATATAATGGGACCAGGATCATCGATACAACATCTCGAACACAACACATGCCCCGCGGTAGGTACATACAATGCGAGGGCAGCTTCATCGTGTATGAGACGAGCGCCGCACCGCGTCGACCGGCGTCTTATGTCTAAACATGACTCGTCGTATTTCCTTTACACACCAGCGATAGCAGTGGCGTTCCCGATCACACCGTTACATCGCCTTTAGGAGGAGGGCTTGGAAGGCAGAGTGGCGTATTACCCACCTTAACTTCAGCAGCTTCATTAGGCCAACTTTACCACGAACGCTACTCTAAGCCAACTTGAGCCGTCCTTTGGACCCCGCTCATTATGATGTCGTAGTACGCCGAGCTCACTTAAGAAGTTCAATTTCCGCACCGGCGATAAGTGAAATGTTTTCCAATCTGCAATCACAACGCCACTTTCAAATTTTTTGTGTAATATGGTTGAAAATTTTATCCGTCGTAATATCAAACTAATCACGTGACCATCTCAGTGCCGTGGCCATGTTCTGAGCTTAAACGCCAACAGATATTCACTAAATTCGTGAAATAAATGTTTTGATTAATTGTGCCGTGACGTCGATAATTAAGTGCACTAGCATAGTTTGTTGGCTTTCATTCTATGTAGGAAACATCATTAGCAATGTGCTAACACTCGAGTCAGATGGACCTCCATTTACTTTCACTTAGCTGGGAGACGAGCTGGATGTGGATTGTGGATGCAAGGCAGCTAAGTCCTGTCAATGACCAAACAGGTCCTTTCCGGCCTACCATTGTATCCAGTGCTCGCAGTGATGATGAAGTGTTTAGTTTCTGCGAAACTAAAGCAATAATACTGAGGCGTATATAGCACATCAAACTCGCGATAATCCAATTTGACAGAATATGTGAACGACTATAGCAAATTAAACAAATAGCACCCTTTGATCAGAAAAGTCAATGATTTTGCGTCAGTCAAGATTGAATACCTAATGGCGAGGCACTTAGAGCGATTGAGGTGACCCATATGACCTCTTAGTCTTATGGCCTTTTTAGCCAAAATGGTATCAGGAGACAATGCAGTATGCACATTTCATGAAGCTGTTGCAATGCGTCGGTGTCTTGTGGTCGTAAATAGCAGACTCAGCTGAGCTAGACAGATTATTGAGGTTGTTCACCCCCTGCATAACAAACATAATGCTTTGAGTGGAAGATTCGTGTTGTTGCAAAAAAGTCATGCATCGAAAACAACTGCGCTAGTATTCGCGTTTTCTTGCTTGGCATGACGCATTTAAAGGTAGTGTGCCACCTTCCAATGATTTCCCATTTTATTTTTCCTAGGATAAGAAGCTTCTATTTTTACCTAATATCGCAAAAAAAAAATCAAAAATGGGCCTAAAATAGTGCTTTTTCCGCCTAAAAGTTTATCGGTTTTTCGATATGTATAACAACTGTAGTGGGCTGACCTGCAAACAGGCGTCGGCAACAATCGCGAATGCGGCGCACATGTGACAATAAGCAAAGGTCATTATAGAGTTACGACGTACGGGAATGAGTTATCAGCCGTCTAATCGTAGACAACACAATGCCGAATTTAAACTGTAAGCCTGTATTGGTATTGTATCTTTAATTTGGCTGTCGAACATTAATGTATGGTTTGAAATATTATTTTATGTAAAATAATTGATATGAAACAGCCGTCTCTAAAGTTATGACCCCATCTCACCACATGAAAGTGGCAGAAATGACAATGATCAGCTGACGCATTTTTCTTGGCCGAAGTCAGAGCGCGCGGCCCGACGCACCACCACCGCACCACAAAGTATGAGCAGAAGCCACCTGCGGTAGACCGCACCCAAAGCCAGGGCCCCGGTAACGTGAGGTAGCCGAGTAGGGGCAGCGTGCGCTGACCCAAGCCGGGGCCGCGGCTTTGGGCGCGGTCTACCGCATCCCCGGGCAGCCCCGGGCTCACTCAAAACTTTTTTACTACCTCCTGGAGGATTCATTTTCATCAAACCAGCAAGATAAGAGTATATTGAAAGGGTAACTCTTTGCTACCATTATGTGCATAGTAACGGTACGTGGTTGATATGAACTTATTCGCCAGCGAAGAGTATTATTACCATGTAAATATCAATATTACTCTCGCGATCCAGAACATCACGAAAACTCTTTCCTTTTGGGTATCGTGACTCGTGTACAGATAGTCGTTTCATGCGTGGATCTTGTTTACCCTCGTGAAGATGATATTTGAAATGGAATCACTCAGCCAATCAGAAACGAGATCGGCCGTTTGCGGTTTGAAGGCCGCGCGCATCTGTCAGTTTTCGGCCGTTGGTCTCCGAGAGCGGATGTGAGCAGTGTCGGTGCCGCGCGGCGTGGCCGTTGGTGATTGTGCTTGCGTGTTGTTCATCGCCTATAGAGCCTCTGTGGACATTTTATTGTAAGTACCGATGTGCTAGAGCATTGCATGCCGCTGAGTGGTGTTAATTTGACCTGGTTAACAGGACCCCGTGCACGGCCACGTGGCCTAGGTTGTGAGTACGTACATTAATTTTGTTGTGATGCTACAAGTTTATGCATTTTGTTGGTGACTTTGAAAAAGCCTTGCACTGTAGTGATCCAGTCTCATTATCTCACGCATACGGGCGACCACCCAGGAACGCCGTCGCTCTCTTCAAATATTGTGCGCTGTGCCTTATCCAATATGAGGGCGCTGAATGTCTTGTATTCACATTCAAAGTGCATTCAAGTTGTATCGTGGTGTTTATTTACCGCTTGTGCATTGCTGAACGCTTCGTATAAATTCGTATGCATAAGTGGAGAGTCTCACAATGTACATTGCTGGTGTGCCCCTCGTATTGTTTGTACGGAAGCCAAATAAACATTGTTGCTCTTGAAGCATGTTTTTTTAGTTGGTGAGCTCCGGTTAACAGAAGCTTCGTGAAGCTTCTGAAGAAAGCGTCTGTGGGTCCGTTACCATCCTCTGGGGGATTTACACTAAAGGAAAGAGTAAACATTACCATGTGACAAAGGGTAGGCCAGAAGAATACACTCTCTGTAGGAGGGTAAAGCACAGAGTAGATGATGCGTTACTCCCTAGAAAAGGGTTCCGTTTAAGATTTACCCTTTCAAAGAGTGTAACCCAAAAAATGTTACACTCTAGACAAGAGTAAATCAAAAGAGTTCAGAAGATGCCATTCAGAAGATGGTAAAAAACGTCTGTGTGTCATGTTACCCCTCCCTGGCGAGTTTACTCTTCATGAAAGAGTAAAATTTACCATCTGGAAGGTGGTAAAAAACGTCTGTGTGTCAAGCTACCATGCTATGGCGGGTTTACCCTTCAGGAAATGGTAAAAAAGTTTTCAGTGCTATCCCATGACACCGGGAGGACGCGCGGCCCCGGCTTGGGTCAGCGCACGCTGCCCCGACTCGGCTACCTCACGTTACCGGGGCCCTGGCTTTGGGCGCGGTCTACCGCACCACCTAACAGGCGTGTTCGAAACCGCAGGAGATGATGATGAACGGGTTTATCGAAACTTGATTGGATGAGCCTATCGGTAATAGCGATTTCAGTGTGTGCATTTATTGTTCATAGTGGTGTGAAATGTGGTTGGGGTACGATTCGCACTGGGGTACTCAAAATTTGAAGAATTTAAGACGTTTCCACATGGTTTTGAAGGTATGGATAAGTTCTAAAAATCCGGTTCTCCTTATCTGGGCCATTAACTCCATACGGTCCAGGAAAGCTGGCACACTACCTTTAACATTCTTCTTATGCTTCTCAAAGATGAAATAATTTCGGAAGTTGTTTCGTGCTTACATAAACGACAGGTCTACCAGCTTCTAAAGTCAGAAAACTTGACATCCTTCCGTCAGAGCTCGACTTGTACCGTCCGAGTCCTTCCCCTGCTGTCAGAAGCCTCACGTGCCTCGTGAACGGCGGCTTCAGGTTTCACTGGCGGGACACGGTTTCGCTCTGGGCCGGTAGGGGAGGTCGGTGCTGGTATCAGTAGTCTGTCGCACCGACTCGCGACCTCAATCAGTAACGGATTCCCTTCCAAAAACTGTGACCTCGTATCAGTATGGCTGCAATCGATCCGGGGAGCCGCGACCCACTACAAAAGCGCGTGATAAACTTTGTGCGGCTGCAAATGGTAGCTTGTTATAGCAGCGCCCAGCGTAGTGAAAATATAATTTTGAGCAAATGTCCGATATGGTTTTGCATACATATGAGCTCATTCGGTGAGGATGGCTTAATCCGTTGAGACCGCCACAAAGGCGTGTGATTAGGGGAAGCCAGCCATGGGCCGGTGGCCTGTTGCCGAGCGATGGGTCACGCAGCAGGGCTACCGTTCCTTCCTCGTCCGAGGTCATATCACGGCGAAAGACCAGGTCAATTCACGGAAATTGTTCGGGCTACGTCAGAGACGATGCTCACGAGAAATTTCATGAGAAATGCTCGGAAGATATAACAAAAAAAGTTTCGGGTCACGAGAAGTTTTACGTGCATGTCACGAGAAAGTGGAATCATCTGACTTTGTGGGAGATGTTAGGTTTATGCTATTTGTAATATGTCCGACCGACTGGGCTACAATCGGTCAGCAGAAGGCGAGCAATGGGCGTGTGGAGGTGGGTTCTGCGAACTTACAAACGTTTTCAGTTACTGTCAGTGACGTACTGGCGGTCCCAGGTGCCATGCCACACTTGCCGTTCTGCCGTTCCCAGCTGCCACCGTCGCCGGGCTGCCTTTCTCAGCTGCCACTCTTGCCGTGCTGCCTTTCTCAGCCCGCCGTAGGCTCTCCGTGGCCCGACCATTAGTGGGAGGCGGGCCGACGTACGGCGCCGACACTGGGCTCGTTAGGGGCTCACTCCGACCCTGACCGTCCGCCTGGGACGCTGCCACGGC